TTTTTGGTACTGCGCGCGTTCTTTATGCTAAAACATCCACGTTTTGTTTGGACAATTCCGCTTGTTTAAAGTTTTCGAGTTCCTGCGTTTAAGAAAAGCAATTTATGAAACTCTGAAATTTTCAAAATAGTAAATCTGCAGTAAAAGAAATTTACAATTGTTTTAACCCTATGTAGGCAGTGTATAAGCAATATTATTACAATTATAACAATATTTCACATGACACAAATAACGTGTCTGTAAAAAGGTTCGATTATCTTCGTGAACGAAACTGTATATTTCAAAAACTATTCGTGAAAATAAATACCTATATATTCCTACTAACATACTCCTCGTCACCGCACATTACGAAGAAAACTATTCGTTTAATCAATCAAAAACACGAGGCACAAAAGTACATTGCACACGACCGGCCGTTTCTCATCGTTCTCCCCCGTTTTCCCATCCCCCATCGCCATCGACGTGCCCGCGTAAAATTACCGTGAAACTTTCGCTTGTCCTTCAAGTCAATTTATCATATAGGTTCGCTCGAATCGATTCTCGGCCAACAGTTGTTCGTTAACACGAAAACTTTAGCCTCTCGATACGCAATAGTGGCCGAGGCGAAGCTAGTCCACGCTTAGTAAAGGCGAAACTACGGAATAAGTCGCTTCTAAACTCGTGCTCGATGCTCCAACATAACACGGGGTATCGTTTCTCGTTTCCATTGAAAACGAGCAACTGCGTCATAGTCAATGCTCTCTTACGGAATCATGTCGAAAGGTAAAAAGAACAAAATCCCAGTCATTAATTAGTTAATCGGTACTCTGACTAGATACAACGAAATATTTATAAACCAGTGACACCCTCGACTGACAAGCGAAATACTCTCAATTTTGCGAAATACTACTCGAATTTATTATATAGTATTTTATAAAAAAAATTAAGGACAGAATAGTAACTCGAGAAAACAAAGTGAAAGAGTAATAGTTTAGAAAAACTACATTTCTTTCGAAAGTAAACTAACGATGAAACCATGAAACAATCAAGTATCGTTATTTACTTACGATTGATTCTTATTTCATATAAAGTTAAAATTGATTCTTATTATATTATATTAGATAGATATATAATTAAATTGGATAAATCCTTATTTAATATATTAGTCAAATTAGTGAACAAGTATCCTTAAGACATACTTTATTTATACGATAAATTCATTTTTCTGAAGTTCGTACTCAAGAAAATGAAATTGTGAAAAACATTTGCCGATCGTCCGCTGTCAGATTGTTTGTAGTTGATCAATTGTTTGATCTTTCGGTACGAGATTAGGCTTAGAAATTCTGTCGGGTTTATTTCGGCTTAAACATAAGCCGATTTACCGTGCCGTGATCCGTAGTTTATGGCTTCGTTCATGACCAACGCAAATGAAAGCGTAATGGTTGTCTTAGAAAACAAGTCGCTAAGAAATTCTGTTAGATATTTTGTTGGATAATGTTTTGTGGAATAGAGTAGCTTGGAAGCAATTTAAATACCTATTATTTATGTAATATTTGTCAATGTTTGTCCGAAGTTTAAATTTAACGTGCCAGTACCGATTAGCCTAGTAGTTAATTAAGTATCGTATTAAAAATCATATTGAAAGACAAACATATATATTCAACGTCAAAGTAATTATATAATAAGGATATTGAATCATTATTATATTATTCATGATCGTAATGTATATCATTTAATTTTCTTATACGAAGAGAAGTGTCGTGAAAACTGTTGAAAACATAAATGTATTATTCGAAGTAAATACGCGTGCAAATTATTAGAATAATTTCATTCAAACGATTTTTAAATCGAAACTTGATAATTCTCATAATTTATACATTGTAAGTGGTCGGAAAACTGGATGAAATTAATGTTTCAACGAAAAAATACACGATTAACAATGAAAGTTTCGTCTGAAAATATCTATAAAATATTTCAGATGCACCAGCTCCGTTAATAACATACAAAATTAATTTCAAAAAATAGAGATTAACATTCCCACGATACAATGTGTACAGTGACTCGCGTCTCGGAATACTAAATGTTGATCTCCGCCAATTGTTGATCAAAAAAGTATAAAAAGAAACATTCGAAATTTGTCTTTAATCGCTGAATTTAAATCTCATTTAATCGACTTTTATTGCAGACTGGCGAGGATGGTGGGCAGCGTGCCGAGCGGATGGATGAGGAAGATCCTTCTCTTCCTGGTCCTGATGACCGGGGTCCTGCTGATCGCCATGTACGCGCACGCTCCGCCGCTTGCTTCCCTGCAGCCGTTCTCGTCACGACGGTGAGTGCGCGCGATATGTAATAACGATGCACGAGTAACCAGGCGAACCAGTCGATACTCCTCGGCTCTCTATTATCGCCTATTAAGCTGCACATGGTCGCCGTGTCGTTCTCGAGACGCCACGGATCGTAGAAGGCGCCACTCGATCGTACATTCTTTTACACGTCGACGACGATCTTATCACGTTCCTGAATCTAATTAAACGGCAAAGAACTCAAGGTTT